TCTCAAAAGTTAGTTTGTTTTTGTTGTTTGAGGCATTTTGAAGTGCCCGCTTTTGCAATAATGCCACATAAATGTGCAGAAATGCCACACAAGTTGTGACTAAAACTTGATCGCAGGCACATATTTTTTTCAATCTAAAAAGTAAAAATCAAAACAATTTTATTTTACTTAAATGTAGTCACATGATCCTTCAGAAATCATTCAGATAGGCTGATTCACACATTGCTGATTTGAAGTTTACGTTTTTTTTTTTTTATAATTCAATTTTTTTTAGTTCAAGTTTAATTGATCTCAAGTAACAAAAATGTTTTTTCTTTTATGCGTTTAGATTGTTAACTATAATAGCCCTGCTTAATATTTTTGTGGAAACCATGATTTTTTTTTTTTTCCAGGATTTTTTGATGAATAGAAAGCTCAAAAGAACAGCATTTACTTGAAATGGAAATCTTTTGTAACATTTTGAATGTCTTTACTGTCACTTTTGATCAATTTAATGTGTCCTCACTGAACTGAAGTATTAATTAAAAAAAATAAAATAAATAACACCCAAGCTGATGAAGGGAGGTGCATATTACAGATATTCTGCTAGTGTCCTGTATGCATTAATATCAGACATTTTTACTAACAAAAGAAGAATCTATTGTGCAATTACAGCTTTTGTTTCTATTGTTTGTGAATCTATACAGAGGATCGATTAAATTTGGAGGAAGAGGTGATGAATGACTGCAGCAGTGAGCACAGCAGCTTTACCAAAACTGAAAGTGACCCACCTGGAGACCCGTCCCTCCCCGGTGAGCACACATCCGGACACAAGAGCCCATTGTGCATGCTTTAATCCTCAAATGTCCCTCATTTCCTGTTTACAAATCTGGTCTTTGGGGTCAGTATGACCCCAAAATCGATAGAGTAATTGTAAAAAAATATATACATTTTTAATCATACAAATAATATATCATTTATTTTGTTTACTTCTCATCTATACATTAAAGCTGTGTTTTGGAAGATATTAAGTACTTTTGTACCTATTTACCACAAAATTCCTCAACTACACCATTAGCTTGCGTGTGAAATATCACATTTTTATGAAAAAAATCACTTAAATGATGATCTAAATTTGATTTAAGTTGTTTCTGGATATTGATCTAGGTGTTAGGTGTAGAATTCTGCCATCTGCTGGTTAGAGAAAAACAAGTTTTTGAAAGAATAGTGTAATGAACATATATATCCAGCAGAGGCCCATAGAGATCCATTCATTTTTCTGGAAGTGGCCA